TTTGGGTGACTTGTGTCTGTAGCTTGAATAGCTTGAATGACGGTTCATTGTAGACCGCCTTTCGTCACCGCAGTTCAGCGGTGCCATGTTCATTCTAAGCTTTTTAGCCTTGTGTATGCTGTAGATCAGACATGTGTTAAAGTAGATGAGAAGTCCACATGGAATGATGTCGAAAAGGACCGACCAGAAAAGTCGGCGGATACCGACTACTTTCGTGGAAAAGTACCTCTCGATCCAGAAAAGTTGCTGGCCGTCTCTGTCCTTGGCCACAATGGTTTTCTCCATAAATATTGGAATAGTGGCCAGGGCACAGCCGACGAATACCAGAGCAATGATTATACGCGTCCGCCGCAGCGATATCACTCTCCTTGCTTTGAACGGATGACATACGGCCAGGTATCTCTCTGCCGCCATGTAAACTATCATAATTGTACTAATGATGATGAAAATGGTAATAGTCGGACCAAGCATCCAGTCCAGATAAAGCCAGACACTCCGATGATCGTAGCTGAAACGAGAAAAAAAGGAAGAAAAATAGAATATAATTCAACAATGAGAAAGTCTGTCTTATATTGCAGCGGGGCTCGTTGAACACGCGACTCTCTTCTCTGTTATTCAGTCTTTCTTTCTTTCTTTCTTTCTTTCTATTTAAGTCTATCTATCTATCTATCTATCTATCTATCACAGTCTGTTTCTATCTATCTATCTATCTCAGTCTATCTATCTATCTATCTATCTATCTATCTATCTATCTATTTCTTTCTTTCTTTCTATCTATTTCTTTCTTTCTTTCTATCTCCGTCTATTTCTATCTATCTATCTATCTATCTATTTCTTTCTTTCTTTCTCTATCTATTTTCTTTCTTTCTTTCTTTCTTTCTTTCTTTCTATCTATCTATCTATCTATCTATCTATCTATCTATCTATGTTTCTTTCTTTCTATCTATGAAAAAAATATACGGAAAAACAAACAAAAATCCTAATATGCAATTATGCTTTTTTAATGTTAATATTATGTCAACGTCGGACGTTTCGGTCTAATAAACCATCTTCAGAACATATTCATAAAACATAATTAACATTAGACTATATTCAATTCAACATGAAAAAGACGATGGACACAAGAGTAAGACTAATCCAAACAGATAACTGAAATTTCTTATAAGATCAGCGTTCCGTTTTAATATGATCACGTCGTCGTCACGTGGGCGATGTTGTGAAAACTTATTCGAAGATGATTTCATAATATTAGATAAGCTCGATTGAACGATTTTCTCATATAAACAGTTCGTTAAGAAACCCCACCTGTTCTTACAGGAATACGCGGAGATCAATAGATTCCTATACTTTCGCATAACCAATGTTATCTATCTATCTATCTATCTATCTATCTATCTATCTATCTATCTATCTATCTATCTATCTCAATCTGTTTATATCTATCTCAGCCTGTTTATATCTATCTATCTATCTATCTATCTATCTATCTTATGAAATGGATTAATTTCGACAATTATCTAATATATTTTTTGCTTATATGTTATTTTTTCTAGATATTATTTATTTAAGTAAATGCTCTGTTTTAATTAAAAAGTATTACTTACATTTACCGGCCTGAATATTCGAGAAATTTCGTTGAAAATATGAGCTCTTCGACAGAAATCGAACCTGTATTCCTATAAGGAAACCGTCATTTGATCTGACGTGCTGTTAACCATTCAGCCACAAAGAAACGCAAAGTCCGAATTACTGTTTATAACCACACACTTTGGACGATTTTTATCGATCGATCATTTCTGCTCTATTAATAAGCAGAATAAGGATCATAGTAACATTAGACAAACAATGCCAAAATACCAGCAAAATCAATGATTCTTGAAGCAATACCCCTAAAACAATTATAATTAGGATAGTTAGAGACATAATTATATAATTTCTTATCATTATAATATTATAATTTCTTACAATTATAATCCTATAATTTCTTATAAGTATAATCCTATAATTTCTTACAATTATAATTCCATAATTTCTTATAATTATGATCCCATAATTTCTTATAATTATAATCCTATAATTTCTCATAATTATAATCCCATAATAATTTCTTATAGTTATAATCCCATAATTTCTTAAAATTATAATTCTATTACTTCTTATAAATATAATCCTATAATTTCTTATAATTATAATACCATAAATTCTTAGAATGATAATCCTATAATTTCTTAGAATTATAATCCCATAATTTCTTATAATTATAATCCTATAATTTCTCATAATTACTATCCGATAATTTCTTATAATTATAATCCCATAATTTCTTAAAATTATAATTCTATAACTTCTTATAATTATAATCCCATAATTTCTTATCATTATAATCCTATAATTTATTACATTTATAATCCTATAATTTAAAAAATTATAATTATTATTATAATTCTATATTTCTTATAATTATAATCCTATAATTTCTCTTCATAATTATAATCTCAAAATTTCTTATAAAACAATATTATCCCTTGAAGGGAGAATTTAATTTCTTATAATTCTATAACTTTTTATAATTATTATCCTATAATTTCGTATAATTATATTCCTTTTATTTCATTCAAATACAATTAAAATAATTTATCTAAGCTTAACATAAAACTATTACACTTACCTTTAAAACAATAAAACAAAACAACGAAAATCAACAAAACTTGAAGGGAGAATTTAATCTGTCACCTGTAATAATTGTCACAAGTAATACATAGGAGAAACGTCAATCAATTTAAAATAAAAATATTATATGAACCCAAAATGGATTTGTTACAAAACACACTAAATGCATTAGCTGCTCACTGTAATGTGTTTGACCGTAATTTTGATTTAAACATGTTGCTCTAATTAAAACAGAAAACAACTTCCTAAGACGAAAATGTATAGAAAGTGCTTTAATCAGTAGATAAGGCAAAGTAAATTTACTTTCAGCTTTATATATCTTGGCAGATCTATTATCGCAATATTGAGATATTTAATAAAAAAAGAAAAGGAAACATAAACAAATAGAAAAAGAAGCTGAATGAAATGGTTTAGACTAAATACTCAAAATATCTATTTAAGAAAATAAAGTCTAAATTTAAAATTCTTAGCATCCTCTGCTCATCGTGCGCATGCGTAGTCCCATCAACGTAAACCTCACTTTAATCCGATTACGCCCTAAAGGACGAAAGACGTCACTCGAAAAGACTTTTTCCACTTTGACATAGATTATTATTCCCTAAAATAGTTCTTGATATATATATATATATATATATATATATATATATATATATATATATATATATGTGTGGATATCGTTTTCCTATAAGCTTGTATAATGACCATCGTAATAAGCTAGTTTGACCTAATTGAGTGATTACAGTACTAGTAAAAAAATCCCTGGCACCATTGTAACTATAAACGTACATCTCCTTGTCCGTCATAATTAATACATTTTTAAAGAAGACAAATATAAAAACAACAAAGGAAACATCTATGCCAATATAAATTCATGGAATTTTGGATAGAAAGTTTTTCTTAAATTTAGTTACTACAATCGTTAGTCAATGCACACAAAAAAAAAGTTTTAGGTAATTTGGAAAAAAAAGCGGAGTATTTTTGATATCAAAACAATCTCACCGCTTAGATTTTCGATAAAAATCGAGCATCAATAGAGTTTTCCCCTGTTCTTGCAAAAAAAAATTAGTTCGAGGTAAATATCTATCTATTTTATCTATATCTTATTTTTATCCATTGTCAATTAAATAAAAACTATCTATTTGATTATATGTGTCGAATTTCAAATTATCTATCTATTCAATCTATCTCTATCTATAGATCCAAATCGAATTATCTCTATCTTTAAATTTATATGTGTCAAAACAATCTATCTATCTTCTATCTATCTATCTCTTTATTTATATGTGTCAACCAAAAATCTAAAATGCATATCTAGAAAACATATGGCTATCTATCTATCTATCTATACATACATACATACATATCTATCTATCTATCTATCTAACATACAACATACAGATCAATCTATCTATCCAATGTTCATAAAATTATACAATGAGGAATTCATGATTACATACATGAATATCTATTATCTATCTAATGAATTCAAATCTATATCGTATCTCTCTTCTAATCTAACATACATACATACTTATCCAAAAACAATATTTCTATCTTTTAATTTATTTCTCTATTCATTCTTTCATTTTCCTCAAGTATCTACCATTTTTCTCTACATTCATCAGAAATCAGACATAACATGGCAATATAAGCTATCATTCCATAATGATTTTTCCATTTTACATTTGGAAAAATCTTTAGTATGAACAAAATTGATTAATTTCAAAGGCTGTTGCTAGCTCTTTTTTGTTGAAAATCTTCTGGGCTCTTGCTGCTGTTGATGGCAAAATGAAACTGTATGAGATCAAATGACCTATCTATCGAAATCGTATCCATTCTGTCCGGTTATTGCCGTTTATTCTGAGATGAAGAATTGCTACTAGTACAAATCTACAAAATTATTCAAAAGGAGTCATCTATTTATCTATTGAAGTTTGTTTTTTTTTGTCCAACTTTCAGTTTATTCACATCTATCTATCTATTCTCCAAATATCCTGATTAATCAAAACAACCAAGCAGAAGCTGTTATCAATAAACTATTGAATATTGTTTCATCTTGGCCTCTGAGTATTCTCATATCTATGTAAATCAGTCATTCCTTCGTTTATTTATAACATTCTATCGGTTTATTCTCCATTCTTTTTCGGATATAATCTCTGATTAAATATCTATAGAATTTATCTCATAATTTGGATCTAAAACAGTGGAGTATGTTTCTCCAAATTTTAGAAAAACTCTCTGATTTAGCTTTCTATTTATCATATCTCATCTATCTATCTGATCTAAAATAAAGAGAAATTAATATTTCTTTTTAAAATCTCTCTGATTAAATGATTTTCTTATTTGGAAAGTATGTATCTATCTATTGTAACATATCTATCTATTTTGACTATCTATCTATCTATCTATCTATTACTATTCTTCTTTATTTATCTATCTATCAATCTTCTTTGAGTTTATTCATCCATTCTTTTCAGGTGTTTATTAAATATCTATCTATCTATCTCATCTATCTATACTCACAACATAGAATTTATTCTCCATTCTTTTCTATCTCTCTATCTATTTTCTTTTCTAAATCTGTTCAATCATGATTGTTGATCTATCCATTTTTTTTATATACTCTGATTAATCTATTTTCTTATTTGGACAAAAATGCTCATCGTGATTGTTGTACTCATTCCATACATATTCTCCATTCTTTTTCAGGTCTATCTATCTTTCTTATTTGACTATCATATCTATACATCCAACATACAAACCGTTGTATTCTCCATTCTTTTCATCTGATCTAAATGATCCATCTTTTGGAAAGCTATCATCATCCATCTATCCATCCATCTATCTATCTATCTTATCTGTTTATCTTATCTTTCAAGTTTATTCATCATTTAAATGTCTTTCTATCAACATCCATCTATCCATTCTCCATTCATTTTTTTCTATTCTCATCTTCTTGTATTCTCCATCTTTTTCATCTCTGATTAAATGATTTTCTTATTTGGAAAGCATGCTCATCGTGATTGTTGTACTCACAACATCTTGTATTCTCCATTCTTTTTTCAGGTGTCTCTCTGATTAAATGATTTTCTTATTTGGAAAGCATCTCATCGTGATTGTTGTATCTATTGTATTCTCCATTCTTTTCATCTCTCTGATTAAATGATTTTTCTTATTTGGAAGCATGCTCATCGTGATTGTTGTACACAACATAGCAGCCGTTGTATTCTCCATTCTTTTTCAGGTGTCTCTCTGATTAAATGATTTTCTTATTTGGAAATCCATCATATTGTTGGCCCTCATTTATCCGTTATTCTCCATTCTTTTTCAGGTGTCTCTCTGATTAAATGATTTTCTTATTTGGACAAGCATGCTCATCGTGTTATTGTACTCCACAACATATCCGTTATCCATTCTTTTACATCTCTCTGATTAAATGATTTTCTTATTTGGAAAAAACATCGTGATTGTTGTACTCATCCATCCATTCTTTTCAGGTGTCTCTCTGATTAAATGATTTTTTTATTTTGAAAGCATGCTCATCGTGATTGTTGTACTCACAACATAGCAGCCGTTGTATTCTCCATTCTTTTCAGGTGTCTCTCTGGTTAAATGATTTTTCTTATTTGGATCCATGCTCATCGTGATTTGTTGTACTCACAACATATGTTGTATTCTCCATTCTTTTTCAGGTGTCTCTCTGATTAAATGATTTTCTTTATTTGGAAATGCATGCTCATCGTGATTGTTGTACTCACAACATAGCTTGGCCGTTGTATTCTCCATTCTTTTCATGTCTCTCTGATTAAATGATTTCCATGCTCATCATGATTGTTGTACTCACAACATAGCACCGTTGTATTCTCATTCTTTTTCATGTCTCTCTGATTAAATGATTTTCTTATTTGGACAAGCATGCTCATCTGTTTGTTACCATCCATTGTATTCTCCATTCTTTTCACAGGTGTCTCTCCTCACATTAAATGATTTTTCTTATTTGGAAAGCATCTCATCGTGATTGTACTCACAACATATTACATTGTATTCTCATTCTTTTTTCAGGTGTCTCTCTGATTAAATGATTTTCTTATTTGGACTTATGCTCATCGTGATTGTTGTACTCACAAACATAGCAGCCGTTGTATTCTCCATTCTTTTCAGGTGTCTCTCTGATTAAATGATTTTCTTATTTGGAAAACATGCTCCCATCGTGATTGTTATACTCACAACATACATATTCTCCATTCTTTTCAGGTGTCTCTCTGATTAAATAGTTTTTCTTATTTGGACAAGCATGCTCATCATATGTTGTATTGTTGTACTCACAAACATAGCCCATATTCTCCATTCTTTTCAGGTGTCTCTCTGATTAAATGATTTTTCTTATTTGGAAAGCATGCTCATCGTGATTGTTGTACTCACAACATAGCGGCCGTTGTATTCTCCATTCTTTTTCAGGTGTCTCTCTGATTAAATGATTTTCTTATTTGGAAAGCATGCTCATCGTGATTGTTGTACTTTCCAACATAGCAGCCGTTGTATTCTCCATTCTTTTCAGGTGTCTCTCTGATTAAATGATTTTCTTATTTGGACAAGCATGCTCATCGTGATTGTTGTACTCACAACTTATAGCGGCCGTTGTATTCTCCATTCTTTTTCAGGTGTCTCTCTCTGATTAATTGAGTTTTCTTTTGCTCATCGTGATTGTTGTACTCACAACATAGCAGCCGTTGTATTCTCCATTCTTTTCAGGTGTCTCTCTGATTAAATGATTTTCTTATTTTTATGCTCATCGTGATTTGGAAACATGGCATGCTCCATTCTTTTTCATGATTAAATTTTTCTTAAACCGTTTGACAACATTGGCCCGTTGTATTCTCCATTCTTTTCAGGTGTCTCTCTGCCAATGTACAAGCATGCTCATCAGATTACTCACAACAGGATTCTCATTCTTTTCAGGTGTCTCTCTGATTAAATGATTTTCTTATTTGGACAAGCATGCTCATCGTGATTGTTGTACTCACAAAAGCCCGTTGTATTCTCCATTCTTTTCAGGTGTCTCTCTGATTAAATGATTTTCTTATTTGGACAAGCATGCTCATCGTGATTGTTGTACTCACAACATAGCAGCCGTTGTATTCTCCATTCTTTTCAGGTGTCTCTCTGATTAAATGATTTTTCTTATTTGGACAAGCATGCTCATCGTGATTGTTGTACTCAAAAACATAGCAGGTGTTGTATTCTCCATTCTTTTTCAGGTGTCTCTCTGATTAAATGATTTTCTTATTTGGAAAAGCATGCTCATCGTGATTGTTGTACTCACAACATAGCGGCCGTTGTATTCTCCATTCTTTTCAGGTGTCTCTCTGATTAAATGATTTTCTTATTTGGACAAGCATGCTCATCGTGATTGTTGTACTCACAACATAGCAGCCGTTGTATTCTCCATTCTTTTCAGGTGTCTCTCTGATTAAATGATTTTCTTATTTGGAAAAAGCATGCTCATCGTGATTGTTGTACTCACAACATAGCAGCCGTTTTATTCTCCATTCTTTTTCAGGTGTCTCTCTGATTAAATGATTTTTCTTATTTGGACAAGCATGCTCATCGTGATTGTTGTACTCACAACATAGCAGCCGTTGTATTCTCCATTCTTTTCAGGTGTCTCTCTGATTAAATGATTTTTCTTATTTGGAAAGCATGCTCATCGTGATTGTTGTACTCACAACATAGCAGCCCGTTGTATTCTCCATTCTTTTCAGGTGTCTCTCTGATTAAATGATTTTCTTATTTGGACAAGCATGCTCATCGTGATTGTTGTACTCACAACATAGCAGCCGTTGTATTCTCCATTCTTTTTCAGGTGTCTCTCTGATTAAATGATTTTCTTATTTGGAAAGCATGCTCATCGTGATTGTTGTACTCACAACATAGCATGCCGTTGTATTCTCCATTCTTTTTTTCAGGTGTCTCTCTGATTAAATGATTTTCTTATTTGGACAAGCATGCTCATCGTGATTGTTGTACTCACAACATAGCAGCCATTGTATTCTCCATTCTTTTCAGGTGTCTCTCTGATTAAATGATTTTCTTATTTGGAAAACATGCTCATCGTGTGATTGTACTCACAACATATAGCAACCGTTGTATTCTCCATTCTTTTTCAGGTGTCTCTCTGATTAAATGATTTTCTTATTTGGACAAGCATGCTCATCGTGATTGTTGTACTCACAACATAGCAGCCGTTGTATTCTCCATTCTTTTCAGGTGTCTCTCTGATTAAATGATTTTCTTATTTGGAAAGCATGCTCATCGTGATTGTTGTACTCACAACATAGCGGCTCCATTGTATTCTCCATTCTTTTTCTTATTTGGACAAACATGCTCTCTCTGATTAAATGATTTTCTTTTTTTCTCTGAAAATGATTTTTATTATTTGGACAAGCATGCTCATCGTGATTGTTGTACTCACAACATGCCAGCAGCCGTTATATTCTCATTCTTTTTGTCTCTGATTAAATGATTTTCTTATTTGGACAAGCATGCTCATCGTGATTGTTGTACTCACAACATAGGTTGTATTCTCCATTCTTTTCAGGTGTCTCTCTGATTAAATGATTTTCTTATTTGGACAAGCATGCTCATCGTGATTGTTGTACTCACAACATAGCGGCCGTTGTATTCTCCATTCTTTTTCAGGTGTCTCTCTGATTAAATGATTTTCTTATTTGGAAAGCATGCTCATCGTGATTGTTGTACTCACAACATAGCAACCGTTGTATTCTCCATTCTTTTCAGGTGTCTCTCTGATTAAATGATTTTCTTATTTGGACAAGCATGCTCATCGTGATTGTTGTACTCACAACATAGCAGCCGTTGTATTCTCCATTCTTTTCAAATTGTCTCTCTGATTAAATGATTTTCTTATTTGGACAAGCATGCTCATCGTGATTGTTGTACTCACAACATAGCAGCCGTTGTATTCTCCATTCTTTTTCAGGTGTCTCTCTGATTAAATGATTTTCTTATTTGGACAAAGCATGCTCATCGTGATTGTGTGTACTCTGATTAGCGGCCGTTGTATTCTCCATTCTTTTTCCAGGTGTCTCTCTGATTAAATGATTTTTATTATTTGGACAAGCATGCTCATCGTGATTGTTGTATTCTCCATTCTTTTTTCAGGTGTCTCTCTGATTAAATACAATTTTTCTTATTTGGACAAGCATGCTCGTTGTATTCTCTCATTCTTTTTCAGGTGTCTCTCTGATTAAATGATTTTCTTATTTGGAAAGCATGCTCATCGTGATTGTTGTACTTTTCGGGTGTCTCTCTGATTAAATAGCGGCCGTTTGTATTCTCCATTCTTTTTTTTCAGGTGTCTCTCTGATTAAATGATTTTCTTATTTGGACAAGCATGCTCATCGTGATTGTTGTACTCACAACATAGCAGCCGTTGTATTCTCCATTCTTTTTTCAGGTGTCTCTCTGATTAAATGATTTTCTTATTTTATTTGACAAAGCATAGCTTGTATTCTCCATTCTTTTCGTGTCTCTCTGATTAAATGTTTTCTTACAAGCTCATCGTGATTTATTGTTGTACACAACATAGCAGCCGTTGTATTCTCCATTCTTTTTCAGGTGTCTCTCTGATTAAATGATTTTCTTATTTGGACAAGCATGCTCATCGTGATTGTTGTACTCACAAATATAGCGGCCGTTGTATTCTCCATTCTTTTTTTTCAGGTGTCTCTCTGATTAAATGTTTTCTTATTTGGACAAGCATGCTCATCGTATTGTTGTACTCACAACATAGCATTTTTCTTATTAAATGATTTTTCTTATTTGAAAACATGCTCATCGTGATTGTTGTACTCACAACATAGCAGCCGTTGTATTCTCCATTCTTTTTCAGGTGTCTCTCTCTACATTAAATGATTTTCTTATTTGGACAAGCATGCTCATCGTGATTGTTGTACTCACAACATAGCAGCCGTTGTATTCTCCATTCTTTTTCAGGTGTCTCTCTGATTAAATGATTTTCTTATTTGGAAAGCATGCTCATCGTTGATTGTTGTACTCACAACATAGCAGCCGTTGTATTCTCATTCTTTTTTCAGGTGTCTCTGATTAAATGATTTTTTTATTTGGAAAGCATGCTCATCGTGATTGTTGTACTCACAACATAGCAGCCGTTGTATTCTCCATTCTTTTCAGGTGTCTCTCTGATTAAAATGATTTTCTTATTTGGACAAGCATGCTCATCGTGATTGTTGTACTCACAACATAGCAGCCGTTGTATTCTCCATTCTTTTTCAGGTGTCTCTCTGATTAAATGATTTTTTTATTTGGAAAGATGCTCATCGTGATTGTTGTACTCACAACATAGCAGCCGTTATTTCTCCATTCTTTTTCAGGTGTCTCTCTGATTAAATGATTTTCTTATTTGGAAAGCATGCTCATCGTGATTGTTGTACTCACAACATAGCAGCCGTTGTATTCTCCATTCTTTTTTCAGGTGTCTCTCTGATTAAATGATTTTTCTTATTTGGAAAGCATGCTCATCGTGATTGTTGTACTCACAACATAGCAGCCGTTGTATTCTCCATTCTTTTTTCAGTGTCTCTCTGATTAAATGATTTTTTTTATTTGGATCGTGAAGCATGCTCCATTCTTTTTTAGGTGTCTCTCTGATTAAATATTTTCTCAACATATCATCGTGATTGTTAGCAGCCGTTGTATTCTCCATTCTTTTTTCAGGTGTCTCTCAGTTAAATGATTTTCTTATTTGGAAAGCTTATGCTCATCGTGATTGTTGTACTCACAACATAGCAGCCGTTGTATTCTCCATTCTTTTTCAGGTGTCTCTCTGATTAAATGATTTTTCTTATTTGGACAAGCATGCTCATCGTGATTGTTGTACTCACAACATAGCGGCGTTGTATTCTCCATTCTTTTTCAGGTGTCTCTCTGATTAAATGATTTTATTATTTGGACAAGCATGCTCATCGTGATTGTTGTACTCACAACATAGCAGCCGTTGTATTCTCCATTCTTTTTCAGGTGTCTCTCTGATTAAATGATTTTATTATTTGGACAAGCATGCTCATCGTGATTGTTGTACTCACAACATAGCAGCCGTTGTATTCTCCATTCTTTTTCAGGTGTCTCTCTGATTAAATGATTTTCTTATTTGGACAAGCATGCTCATCGTGATTGTTTTACTCACAACATAGCAGCCGTTGTATTCTCCATTCTTTTCAGGTGTCTCTCTGATTAAATGATTTTCTTATTTGGAAAGTTGTGCTCATCGTGATTGTTGTACTCACAACATAGGCGGCCGTTGTATTCTCCATTCTTTTTCAGGTGTCTCTCTGATTAAATGAAAAACATGCTCATCGTGATTGTTGTACTCACAACATAGCAGCCGTTGTATTCTCCATTCTTTTTCAGGTGTCTCTCTGATAAATGATTTTCTTATTTGGACAAGCATGCTCATCGTTATTGTTGTACTCACAACATAGCAGCCGTTGTATTCTCCATTCTTTTCAGGTGTCTCTCTGATTAAATGATTTTCTTATTTGGACAAGCATGCTCATCGTTATTGTTGTACTCACAACATAGCAGCCGTTGTATTCTCCATTCTTTTCAGGTGTCTCTCTGATTAAATGATTTTCTTATTTGGACAAACATGCTCATCGTGATTGTTGTACTCACAACATAGCGGCCGTTGTATTCTCCATTCTTTTTCAGGTGTCTCTCTGATTAAATGATTTTTTTCTTATTTGGACAAGCATGCTCATCGTGATTGTTGTACTCACAACATAGCAGCCGTTGTATTCTCCATTCTTTTCAGGTGTCTCTCTGATTAAATGATTTTCTTATTTGGAAAGCATGCTCATCGTGATTGTTGTACTCACAACATAGCAGCCGTTGTATTCTCCATTCTTTTCCAGGTGTCTCTCTGATTAAAT